ATTCAAAAGCGCTAGGCACAAGGGGTTATATAATTGTAATGCAATTAAAAAGATTGTTTTAAAAAATGTCATCAACTCACCTGTAAAGGGTTAAGATCATTTTTAGAGATTTGGTGAAATGCTTGATAATTTTGTTCAAATGACCTTGTGGGATGAAAATTCGATACATTTAGGTCCTGTCCAAATCTCAAAAAGTTAAGATATCAATGAGCATATATAAAGAAAGTAATCCAAATGCATGAGGTGTTCCAAATCTTGAAATTTTTTTTTGACAAGAAATGGTATATATACACTTGCAAATTAAATGCAAGTGGCATTAGATGCAACTTACATTAGATGTAACTCGTTCCCTTTCTTCTTGACTAAATAATCCCAAACCAACTTTTTTATACAAGTTATTTATTCTTCTTCATGCTTTTCATCCAAATCCGATTTCTTCATCCAAACAAACGGTGTGATGTATTAAGTCTATGTAAGAATTTCTCACTACAACATCAATTTTGTGAGGTGCCGGTTCATCATAGATACAACAATACGCGGCATCTCAACTCTCTCCTAGTACTTCTCAATGACAACGAGACATATAGTTCTTGCTGTTCAAAAAATACACAAACTTCACTCTGGCCTAGTCGTACTCCGTTATGCTGTCCAATAGGAATTCTATGACCCTGTTTAATATACAGGTCTCAATTTAAAAGAACTGAGATTATGATTGAGATTGGTATTGAGATTAGAATTGGGATTGTGGTTTTAAAAGTTTGTTTGGTAAGGAATAATATTTGCATGGAATACTTGCAATAGTTTTATTTTATAATAAATCAAAAATTATCAAAAGACAATAATGACCCTTATTAAAAAAATGCAGAGTCTGAAACTCAAATTTGGAACTCCATTTGAAAAAGCATTTTGTTTTCACAAGTCTAGCCACAAGCTCGAATCTAGGCATTCTCAATCTCATATACACAACAACAATTTGAACTAGATTTGAGAACCATATCTCAAACACAATCTTGAACTAGATCTGAATGCAAGTAGATTCGAGCTTGGACTAGTGGGAGGTAGACGGAGGGAGAAGGGAGGATCTAGAGGGAGATGACTTGCGACTATATGGCGGCATGAATGACTTGCGCCACATCTCTTCTCTCTTCCTCATCGCATCCTCAAGGAAGAAATCCGCAACATCTGCAGAGGAGGGCCGAATCTCATCCTCAATCTCTTTGATTTTTAGGTAGCGTCAATGGAGGAGAGTTGGCATTAGGGTCAATGCTTGACTGAGAGGTGGGATGAAGATGCTCAACTAGAAGGCAGAGCAAGAGAGACGAGGAATAAAGGAGAGATGGTGGCATTTTGGTACTAAAAAAATCAACTCAGGATTAATTTTGGTGGAACTGACCAATACTATGGGGTAGTAGGTTTTAGCATTTCTACCTAAGTGGGATTGAGTAATCTCAAGCATTGATGAATGTCTCATACCAAACATGTGAAAGGTGGGATTACTCTAATTCAATCCCAATATTTACCTTTAAATATTACGTATCAAACGAGCCCATGTAATTGCTCTCCAATCTATAATGGGAAGGATTGAACCTAATAGCTTATATGGAGCTCAAGTGTTGTTAGATTGAACTTAACAGCCACGTTAGCAAAAATCATAACAGAATTTGCTTAGTTGGCACTTATGGGGACTTACATGTAAGGATGGATTTGCTCAATTTTAAACACTGGGGATTGGATTGAAAACTAAGGTAAAGTAGGAGGATCAGAGTATAAAGTTTCCCTAGTAAAAAAATGTCATTAACTCCCTTACAAAGAGTCATAAATATTTGATAATAGACCTGGCCATTTTTATTTAATTAACTTTTTATTAATTCTATGGGATCAAAGCTCCATACATCAAGTCCTGCTCAAATCTCATTAAGAGAATATATCAACAAACATAAAGAAAAGAAATTCAAAGACACATGGTGTCCTAAGTGCCAATGAAATGCCCAGAATTGATAAATACTTGCATTGTTGTCTTAGTAAAAATTCAAAGCTATGCAAGAAAAAAAAGAATTTCACAAGCATATGGTCATACCTCTCTTAAAAATTTTACCATTGGATAGGAGAGAGCAAGATTATATATACCATAAACATCTGAATTATAATTTCCACAAAATAATAAACAAAAATAACAGACCCAAAAGAACAAATTGTCCAATCTTAAAATAACCAAGTAGCTTGATTTTTACATAGACCGAGTACGTATACTCAAGATTTTTCAGAATCAAAAAATGAATTTAAAAGAGTCAAAGGGACCGTTTTAATAAAAGAAGGATGACTTTTGATATACAGCATGCACAAGAACATAGCCCAACATATACTCACAAAATTATCTAAAAATTTTATAAGCGCTAACTTTTTACTGTTGCTCTTCTTTGTCGAATTCCTTGATCTCTTGCAACTTTCTTTTCTCTGTGATAAGAACCAAACCAAACATGCATGTCATAATTTTCAACTTATAATAACTGTATGGTCAATATTATATTATGGTTCAACATGATGATATATTATTTTTCTTGTTAATTAAGAGAAACGAGAAAATTGAATGAAAGCTTTCAGTCATCGATTTGACTACTCATCCATTTGACTCGCATTGCTACCTCTCGATCGTTTTAATTCTTGAGATTTGCAGCTATCTTTGTGTATTGCTTTGCCGGAGATTCTGCACATTATCTACTACTAAATAATTGCAAATATCCTAATTAAGATCGTAATCATTATTTATATAGGATTTACTGTGTGTAACTGATAACAAAGTGATAGGATCGGAATTAAACAATTATGAGTATATCATAACTTAGCCAAAATTTGTGCCAATTTCAGTAAAGCATCGATCAAATATCATTATGAACAAAAAATCTAATCGAATAAACATATATAATCTAGAATTTCTTTGGACATAACAGATCATATAAGACACACACACACACACAGACACACACACACAGACACAAGACACAGAGAGAGAGAAGGGGGGGGACCAAAAAATTAATAAACATCTTTTTTGATATAATTACCCATTATTCATGGACATAGTTGGGTAAGATTACATTAGTGACAAACCTCTCTCAAAATTATTTAACATAATTGCATACTTAAAACTCGAACTTGTGCCATTGGTTAAGCAAGCATAACTGCTTATTAATTGAACTACATGTTTAACAACAACAACACAATAAGCATTAATTGGCCAGGCTAAAAAGTAAAAGTAGAGTTGAAGGGTGACGCCCCCAACAATGTAATAACATAACAAAATTAAAAATCAGTGGACTCCATACTTTAACAATTAAACATGCATCAAACAATATTATAAAAATTAAAAATCAAATTTTAAAATAACCGAATCAAGATAACATATAACTTTGAATTTCTTAAACAGATCAGACAGAAAAGCATCAACGTTAGTTCACAAAAAAACAGAGAGGACCAAAAAAAAAAACATTAATTACAATCAGAGAGGACTTTTTTTACTTTTAAAATTAGATAATATTGTATTTTCTAAATATATTTTTTTCAAAAATAAACTTTTAGGTTTCAATTTTTAAAAAATATTTTAAACGAGATTATAAAATTTTAATTATCTGAAATAGCTGGTATTTCAATTATAGAGTCGCCAGTCGTGATGGCCAAGAAAGGGAAGAAATCTCCGTCGACTCTCAACCCGCCGCCGCCAAACTCCAGGCGGCCACCGCAGACTTGTTACATTGCTGGGAAGATTTAATATATATTTATTTGCATTTGTGAATGGATTTAAGAGAAGTTTAAGATTTGAATACCAGGATGTGTGCATAATTAGACTATTAATCTAAGAGAAATTATTCTCTTGTGGGGACGAAATCGTTGAATATGTTTGGAAGATGAAGGAAAACTATGAAAATTTATAAAAAGGCTTATTGTTGGGCCTATAAAAATATATTATACTTCATTAAAACTATGATTTATTTCAAAATTTTATGTCTTTCAAATTATTAAAGATCCTTTCCGCTACGAAATATATTTTTTAGTTTTCTTTCATCTTTAATTTGAAAATCGAAAATTCAAACTAACGTGATTATATCACATCCACGTCTAAAAAAAATGATGATATTCTATTATAGATAAAACAAATATACCAATAAAATTGGGTTTAACAAAAAATGCTAATTCTTCATAATATAATGAATGAATGTCTGTTCTTAATATAAGATGGAGTTTAAAAACCTTTTGGGTCATAATTCTTAAATAGAAGACGAAATTAGAATCATTAATGTTTATTTTTTTTTCAATTTTATCCCTTATATTTTATTATCATTTAAATTTTTAAACAACAATTTATTATAGTTCTTAATTATAAAGTGGGTACTAAAATTAGAAAGTCATAATATATATATATATATTATTTTACAATTTTAAAATTATAACCAACATTTTTTAATAAGTTCAAAGTTTGTATTAAAAACTGGAGAAAGTATTAAATATATAACGCTACACTTCATTTTATCAGTTATTCTCTAATTATTTTAGATGACATTGATTTTATTTTATTTTGATCAAAACTTCATTCATTAATAGATAAGGTATTATTCAAGAAAAATAACTAGCACAAATGATTCATGAATATAGTTAACATAAATTAGATACATTTTTTTTATGCATGGCATAAATTATTACCTATTTTAATATAAATTATGTATGTATTTCTTTTTTATAAACACTATATATGAATTTCTATCCATAATTTATAATATACCATTTTTAAATTTTTTTATATAATACATTTGCTATTTTATTATAAAGATATAGAAGATTATATAATTAATAAGTATTTAAAATTGTTCGGTCCTATTTTTTAAATTAGATCAACGATGTTAGCATGAAATGACTAAAAAATATTTTTTTAAAAAAAATTATGGAATTAAATCTATTTAGAAAACTTTTTAATTGTATTTTTCAACGAAATAGGTGCAGTATAGAATATGTAAGCACCAACACTACCTAGCAGATCATATATATAGGGGAAATAACAAAGAGATCCCTTTTAATTTAAGTCCCTGTCAAATTTTAAAAATTTATAACTTAATCTCTCAATTTTACAACTACATTATGATGAATTTATAATTTATTTTTTAAATTTTAACTCAATTAAAGACTAAAAAAATATTTTTTCTGTTAAAATTTAAAATACAAATTATAAATTCATCACAACGGAGTTGCAAAATTGAGAGATTGAGTTGCAAATTTTTAAAATTTAGTACTTGAAGCCTCACTTGAATTAATTGATATTTTTGAGACTTTTATATCATTCTTTCCATATATATATATATATATATATATAAGATACTAATTAACTATTGCAAAGATGGGCCAACATGCTTCCAACAAAATCACATCTTGCTCCTTGGAACACCAACTGGAGCATTTCTGGACCTCTTTTCAACAACTCTTGAAATCTGCTTCACTGCCTCTTTTTCTAGATGACGTGGCCTGCTCAGCCAAAGTCCTCCATCCACTATCACAATGTTACCATTGACAAATTTTCCTTCAAGAATTTGCAAAACATGTTACAAGGCAAACAAATAAGGAAATGAAGAAAATGAAGAGTCACTGACCACATATTACCAAGAGTAGCAAATGAAAGAGTCAACTAGTATTTACTGCAAGATTTTTCAATAAAAATAGGGGTTAAATGATAATTTGACTCTTAAATTATAAGTTCAAGAGTATCTGAAACCTTAAATTTGTTTCTGGTGTAAATAGTAAACTTATCTATCAACTTTTGAAAATAGTGCAATATCATTCTTACCATTAATAAAAGTTAATTTTGATCATTAGTTGTCCAAAAAATAACAAATAAAGTACTAAAATTGTAGAACAGGACTAAGAAAATTCTGTAATTCTTTGGGTCCATTTCTATTATTTTTTGGGTCATTTTCTATAATTGTTTAGTCTCTTTATGTAATTTTTGAGGTTATTTTTTAGTCTACTAATAGTCAAAATTAACTTTTGTCAATAATATGAGTGAAATTACACCATTTTCAAAAGTTGAGTAGGAAAATTGTACTAAAATAAATTTAAGATCCTAAATATTCTTAGACCTAAATATAAGGGCCAAATTGGCCTCTAACCATAAAAATATGACATGTCCTGAAAATATTTAAAAAAAGATGAGGTCGAGTTATTCAGAGAAATGAAAGTTACAAACCTGCATCTGATACGAGGTAGAGAGCAGCCATGGCAATATCCCATTTCTCCCCAAGTCTATACAAAGGCATGAATTCTCTGGCTTTGCTATTTATCTCTTGAGGAACCAGTTTACTGATGCCAGGAGTGTCACCTATTGGACCAGGTGCAATCCCATTCACTCTTATGTCATGATCACTTCCCCACTCCAATGCCAAGTTTCTTGTCGTGGCATCAACAGCTGCCTGTACGAGAAGATCACTTTAAACACTAAGCAAGTGTTTGGCACACCGGAAAGTGTTTTCTAAAAAGTAAATGGAAAATGAGAAATGCATTTTCTTTTTAAAAGATATTTTTCTACCTACCAACCATTACATAAATACATATCACATGTATGTTGCCAAGGGATTAAAAAATAATAATAATAAACCATTTAAAAGTAAAGCACCCTATGAAGAGCCCATGCTACTCAATAGAGACTAAGCATCCCATCCTATCTTAGCGTGCGTTATGTGGCCTACCTGGACAATTGACATCTTAATGCCTACAATAGATGACACTGGACTTGGTTTCTTCATAGGCCTTTCTAGAGCCAACGAATATCAACTCCGATAACAGTTAATAGCCACCTAAGTGGGGTGAAAAATCCTCCTTCAAGCTAACTATTTATGTAAGAGAACATACCAATTTGAGTGCCTAATAAAGTAGTTCATATATTCATACTACTCAATGTGGGATCGATTATCTCACCAAAGAATCAATTACAATGTGTGTAAGAATGAACACTCAAGACTCAATTTATACTAACACAGCAGTAACTTTACATTGATATTACCATTAACTTTGGATATGCAACGAGTAATTATCCCCTTCATTTACAATACTTTCCTAAATCTTTAATATCTACTAACATACATGATGCATTAAAAGTAAATACAACCTTAGCTGCAGACACATGAATTTGATACCAAGAAGCCGTATAGTGTAGGGTAGCACTAATGTTCAGTATTGTACCCCCACCAGAAGAGCCCCTTCCAACTCCTCCTTTCTTTAGATACTTTAGAGCTTCATGGCACATTGTAAATGTTCCCACAGAATCAATATCCATAACTGCAAACAAAATTTAGGTTGGATCAATACTTCCTTTCTTGTACCTAATATCCATAATTAATAGACTGCAGCATTGTCCAATAACAATTTTTTTTTTTTTTTTAAGAAAAAGCTGCACCATGACTCAACTTGCTATGTAGAAACAGGTCTTGGAGACTTGGAATAACTTGTAGCCTAAAACACAATGACACATTTAACCTTACCATAATACCATCCTCCTTGATGAATGCCTTCTTTAGGCAATCTGGGATTCTTTAGTTGGAGAACCAGAGTATGCATGGCCCCGATTTTAACAAGGATAACTTAAGGTCACTTAAGTGTCTCCAATTTTAGGGCTTCTCATGCACACTAGCAGAAATAAAATTATATCTACGCAAGAAACTACTAAACTTTTTGTAGGTTAATAGAGAAATATAATTTTATCTGGGCAAGAAACTGCTCACTTTTTGTAGGTTTTAAGCGCATTTGCTGTAGCCTCTGAGAAAGTTCTCTTGCAGTTATTCTTGCCTGTATCTCATCAACACTGTCGCTATTGGCAGTGCCATAGTTGACGTCCCATCAATACTGACATAGCTACAACCTCTAAACTCTAAACTTGGTATCACCACTATACCAGTGTTTCTAGAAGATAGGAAGTACTCCCCCGGTTTTATTTATAGGGCAGAGAAAGAAGAAAAAATTTGGTCCTATTTATAGGGCACTTACCAATTTCCAATGCTCCTCTTTACATTTTTTTCCTTATTAAATGTTTTAAATAAAAATACCAGTAATGAACTCCGCCTATGTTTATAGCCGGTCCCAAGCCCGGGTAAAGGAGGAGGGTTGTGTTAGGCCATCAACAGCCAATGTAAAACTTTGTTGAATCTATCATGAACATGAACAATAAACGTTATAATGTTAATGCTAGGTCGTTGCCCGTAAGTAACGCACTGCATGGCTCGAGTACAGTGATAAATGAGTTAGAGCTGCTGCATCGGCGCCCGGATGTAGTGTTAAATGAGCAAGGGCTACCGCGTCATTCTGGACGCACGCGGCTAAAGAAGTTAGTCCATGAGAGCAAAATTAGATTTGGTACTTGGAATGTTGGGACATTGAATTGTAAATCTGTAGAGGTTGTAGGGGTTATGATTCAAAGGAAAATCAATATCCTTTGCTTGCAAAAAACAAAATGGCATGGAGAAGAAGCTAAGGATATTCAAGGTTTCAAACTTTGGTATACAGGAAAAGTAAGTGCACGCAATGGAGTAGGCATCATTATAGATAAGGAGTGGAAGAAGAACGTTGTGGAAGTTAGCAGAATTGGAGACAGAATTATTTCCTTAAAAATGATAATTGGACGTGAGACTGTTAATATTGTTAGCGCTTATGCGCCGCAAGTCGGGACAGAAGCTAGTGTTAAGAAATTATTTTGGGAGGATCTGGAAGGGTTGATTCGACGCATACCACAGAGTGAAAAGATTTTTATTGGAGGAGACTTTAATGGGCATGTCGGGAGGGAAGCTGGTCAGTATGCGAGTGTGCATGGTGGTTTGCGAGTGTGCATGGTGGTTTTGGTTTTGGAGAGCTAAACAATGAAGGACAAACTCTTCTTAATTTCTTATTGGCGTATGATTTTAAGATTGCCAACACTTGTTTCAAGAAGAGAGATGAGCATCTCATCACTTACAAAAGTGGAGCCTCAAGGTCACAGATTGATTTTCTTTTGGTTAGGAACACAGATAGAAGACTTTGTAAAAATTGCAAGGTGATCCCCGGAGATGCTGTAACGACACAACATAGGGTCCTAGTCCTTAATGTGTGTATTTTGAGTAAAATCCAAAAACGTCGACAAGTAGTAGCACCAAGGATTAGGTGGTGGCAATTAAAAGGTGAGAAACAAGATATTTTCAAGCGAAATCTTTTGGATAGAGGAATGTGGGAATCTCAGAGAAGTGCTAACATCATGTAGGAGAATATGGCTAAAAAGATACGGGAGGTTGCAAAAGTAGCTTTGGGAGAATCAAAAGGTTCTGGTCCGAGAGATAAGGAGTCTTGGTGGTGGAATAATAGTGTACAGGACAAAATCAAGTATAAGAAGAACTATTTTAAAGCCATTCATTTGTGTAACAATGAGGAAAATTGGGTGAGGTACCGTATGGCTAAGAAGGAAACTAAAAGAGCTGTGGGTGAAGCTCGTTCTAAAGCTTTTGAAAATTTTATAAGAGTCTTGAGACGAAGGAAGGAGAGCGAAATATTTATAAGATTGCCAAGAGTAGGGAAAGAAAGTCAAGAGATCTAGAACAGGTAAAGTGTATTACGGATGAAGAGGGAAGAACTTTAGTTACAGATGATGAAATTAAAAATAGATGGGAGACTTACTTTTCTAAACTTTTCAATAATGGAGAGGGTTCATCCAGTAACATGGAGGATTTAGTAACTGGTGAAGGAGAACAAAATTTGTCATTCTATCAAATAATACGTGATAAGGAGGTAAAGGAAGCTCTTAAGAAAATGGCAAATAGTAGAGCCAACGGACCTGATTGTATATCTATCGAAGCGTGGAAATGTTTAGGTGAAGAAGGGGTGAGATGGTTAACTAAGTTATTTAATGTGATTTTACGGTCCAAAAAAATGCCTGATGAGTGGAGGAGAAGTACATTAATTCCTATTTATAAAATAAAGGAGATATTCAGAATTGTACTAACTATAGAGGGATTAAACTTATGAGCCACACAATGAAATTGTGGGAGAAAGTAATTAAGCATAGGTTGAGATTGGAGACAAGTATTTCTGAGAATCAGTTTGGTTTTATGCCAAGTAGATCAACTACAGAGGCGATTTATCTACTAAGGGAATTAATGAAAAAGTATTGTTGTAAAGATAAAAATCTACACATGGTTTTTATTGATTTGGAAAAAACTTATGACCGTATACCAAGAGAAGTGCATTGGAAAGCGTTAGAAAAAAAAAGGAGTACGGATTGCTTATATTAAAGCCATACAAGATATATATGAGGGGGTAAAAACTAGTATAAGAACGCCTAGTGGTCAAATAAAGGATTTTCTATAAAGATTGGACTACATCAGGGATCATCTCTGAGTCCTTATTTGTTCAACTTGATCTTAAATGTTTTGACGGAACATATTCAAGGGGAAATTCCGAAATGTATGCTCTTCGCAGATGATATAGTTCTTATAGTAGAGACAAGAGAAGAGGTTAATTGCAAACTTAAGTTATGGAGGAGGACATTGGAGTCGAAAGGTTTTCGTCTGAGTAGAAGTAAGACGGAATATTTATATTGTAAATTTGGTAAAGGACTATTCGACAATAATTTGAAAGTGAAATTGGGAGACCAAATTATACCTCAAGTGGAAAAGTTTAGATATTTGGGAGCCATTATTCAAAATGATGGCGAAATCAGTGGAGATATTTCACATAGAATTCAAGCTGCGTGGTTTAATTGGAGAAAAGCTAAAGGATTTATTTGCGACCGTAAGGTGCCTAATAAACTTAAAGAAAAGTCTTATCGCACTGCTATCAGACTGGCAATGTTATATAGTAGTGAATGTTGGGCTCTAACGGGACAGCAAGAGCATAAAGTTGGAGTAGCAGAAATGAGAATGTTACGATGGATGTGCGGACATACACGTAAAAATAAAATTCGAAATGAGCACGTACGCGAAAAAGTGAGGGTGGCACCTATTGAGGAAAAAATGGTAGAAAATCGGTTGAGATGATTTGGGCATGTACAAAGAAGACCAAGGGAGGCACCAGTGAGAAGAGTGGAACATATAACTTTGAGTCCGATTAAGAGAGGTAGAGGAAGGCCTAAGAGAACACTCTTGGAAGTTATTGAACGCGATCTCTTAATTAATAATATTCCTAAAAGCTTGATAAATGATAGAGCACAATGGCGTCTTGCAATCCATGTAGCCGACCCTACCTAGTGGGATAAAAGCTTGTTGTTGTGTTGTTGTTGTGTGTTGTAAAAAATACCAACAATGGAATTTAAGAATATTTATTAGGAATAAAGTGAAAACTTGTTAAATTTTAAAACAAAGTTAATGAGATTTAAAATTTTTCTTGGTTCCAGTGAAACATGTTGGAAGTGACTAATAAATAAGACCAGAGAAAGTAGAATATAAATATTTCTTCCCATCCCTCATCACATCACCACTTGAGCAATAATTCAATTGCAAGTTGTGCAGCATTTCAACATTCATATTTGATCATAGATTGTGACCAGGATGTTTAATAGTGCGACGAGATGAGTGCTTCATACGTATAATAAAGACCATAGAGCCTAAGAGGAGCATATGCATCCAAAGTTTACTGATTATACCATATATTCTCAGGATTCAAGTTCTTGCTGCATGTTCAGTTCACTACCTAACACTTGCAAATAATTTAGAATAAAAAAAGAAGTGAAAATAAAAGGCATAAATCCATTGAGAAAAAGTCACATTAATCAAGCCAATCTTGCAAGCCTCTTTGCATACTCACTAGAAAAAAATTCTTCTAGGGTACCCTTAGTAACCGCCAAAAAAAAAAAAAAAGGCACCCCGTTAAAGAGGTACTGAGAAAAAAAAAAAACAAAACTTCCTCCTCATCCTTCTTTTTCACGAAATTTAGATGAGATTCTTTTCTTTTCTCCTTTCTCTCTCTGGGACTATTATAGACGGTGAATTTCAGCACTTCATTTTGTAAGAAAACAGATGTTTTCACTCATATTTATTTGCAGAAAACCAGAACTTCTGCTATTCAGGTTCCCCAAAAAATACCTTGCTTCTTTCTAAATTCTAATCTTTATGAATATAAACAGAAAATTGAGACATTTGTTAACAAGCAAATGCATCTCCATATCATTTTTGAATTACCAGACACAAGGTTTGCTGAACATTAATGAGGGATGCAGTGGGTACCACCCCTATCTCTTCTCTTTCATCACTGCATTCCCTCCGTTATGGGAGAGGATTCAGACTCATGCTATGCCAGTATCCTCACACTGAGAAAAAAAAAAATTCACGACAAAATTCTTAAAGTAAAACAACCTGTTCGAAATCCATTAGGAGAGAGATCCTCTGCTGACACTAGAAAATTTCCGGCTGCAGCATTCACAAGAATGTCAATCCTTCCGAAATTCTTGTATGTCGATTCCAGAACTCTTGCTGCATCTTCTTGCTTGCGAACATCCCCCTCAAATCCAATAGCCTAAGTAAAATACTCAAATGATTTAGATTGCACAAAAAAGTCATCAATGACCATTTCCACCACATATATTACAAAAATGTTATCTCTATTGACATTTCAACAAACTGCATAAGAATAGTGATCCATAAACTGATGAATCAATGGATGCTTTTAGCCTTTCCTAAATAAGCATCATGTCACCAATCATAGGAACATGCACAATCTGCTACTCAAGAGATGAAGGGACAGACAACAATCAGAAACATAATAAATAGATATTCCTGTGGCTCACTTGATAATAGACATTGAATAACAAGTAAAGAATGTGATGTAGTTAGGGGAGGGGGATACATATTGCATAATCACTTTCGAGGTTAGCATTCCTTTTGATGTTTGCTTCATAAACCTGTAATAAGCAAATAACCATAATAAAAAAGTCACTTCAGTGAAATTCTTTTGCTACAAGATTACTACTAACTATGTACAACTCGGATAGCCTTCTTTTATGTAAGCCCAGTGAATCGACCTTTCATTTCAATTCAATTACTAACTCCAGCATGAAGACATGTTAACCATCACTAATTGCACGAAAGGCCCTGGTTACAAGGAAAGATCCGTTTTTCAGCTACGAGACAACACTTCTGCAAGTTGCAAGCTCAACTATCCTTGACAAGTTACTTTTAAACTCATTATGTCATGTAGAGATCCGTATGGGATAGTGTTCCTAATATGTCTAGTGGTTGCTTCGTAATTCATTAATATAAACTAAATTCCAATGATCATCTAACTTACTGGATCGAAAGTTCCAGTTTTTCTTAAACTTTTTATTTCCAGAGAATCGAACAAATCCCAAAAATGGGTCAAAGTTGCGGACTACAGAAATAGGAAGGAATTTGATTAATCCGAGTGATCCGATGAGAAACTAGGAGTTCAACATTGAAGACGAAGGGTTGACCCGAAAAATAAAAATTCAAGACCACGGGCAGAATCACAAAATCAATTCCCAAAAAAGGATAAATTACCGGAATTCCAAGTGATTGAAGAGCAGAGACAGCAGAGTCGAGAACTTGCTTGCGACGACCCATGATGGCAACGGAGGCACCATGTTTGCCGAATTGCGTGGATATTTCGAATCCAATTCCTGAGCCTCCTCCTGTGATAAGAGCAACCTTGCCCTTCAATACATCTGGCTTAAATGGTGACGCCATAGCAATAGTCTTCGCTTCTTCCCTCACCAAGTATTCTGGGGCTGGACGCAGAACGAGAATTAGAATGTTAGTCTAGCTATAACTTGAATTCGTCAACTTGATTGTTTTCCATCAATGGAAGATTCATTCACGTAATTATTACATTAAAAACTCGAGAGATTTTTGTATGGGCTTATAAAAACGAGACATGTAATATATCTATTATTATTTACTAATATTTTTTGATATATAAATTTTTATTTCATTCTCTTATCTATTTTAATTCATTTTATTCCAAATGTCAAATAATTCCTTAAATTCAATTTAAATAAGGGTTAAGATTGCATGCATGTTTAATTATATACATTTTGGTTCATTGTATGCATGCTTAATGAAATATTTTATTTTTTAAAAGAGTAAATCATAATCCATTCAAAAAAAGTAAATTATATAATATTTTTTCTTAAAAAATAAAATGAAAAATAATAGTTGTATATTGTGCTTGCTTTTAAATTTGCTTAATGATCTATTTAGTTAGAAAGAAAATATGAGAGCAAAAAAATTAGGGAAGAAAATGAAGAGAAAAATTGTTTAGGTGAGAAAAGAAAAGAGAGAGGAGTGAAAAATAGAGAGAGAGAAATTGAACATGAAACTTATCATATTTTCTCTTTTTAAGTGTTCTTTCTGAAAGATTTTGAGAGAAAAGCTTTATTTCACTTATTTCCCTCCCACCCACTTAATTGCTCTAATCTTTTCCTTCTTCACCGTCACCTTTCACCTGTTCTAGCATTTTGTTAAGAGTACCAAACAGCAGTCCATGTGTTTTTTTTTTTTTTTTTTTTGGAATAAGATTGATATCAGAGCTCCCCACAAGGGGGAAAAAAACATTGATCAATAGCACTGTTCTTCATTGCGATGTCAATGCCATATGAGGAGGAGTGAGAAGGGAAATAAAAATGATGTGGCCTAGTTTTCAACAGAAAGTATATTTACGCATTATTTTCAGTGACCACTTCATCCAATTTTCAGCATTAGACCATCAATGAACAAACTCTACTTCTTATTTGTCACGTTTTCCTTTCAAGTTTACAATTGCATCTTGGTTCCATGATTAGATTCCTAGTTTCACAGTGAAAATTCAAAGAAGAATGAATGGGATTAAGCTATGATGACAAAATAGTTTCAGTGACCACTAATGAACTTACGACGCTATTATAAACAGAACAAATCATAATCATCTTTCTCCAATCCTCACAAACAGATTATTTTCAATTTTAATGGGAAAAAAAATTATAGGTCCAGCATTCAAAACCCAAGCAACAGTTTTTTTTGTTTTTCCCTAATACTATCGGCATGCTGAAAATTAAAAACGAAAACAAGTTACAGCAACCTAACATCATAGAACTAATCTTTCAACCTGCACGACACTTAGATCTCAAAATTTCCAACCCTCTACTTTGCCCAAGCAACTTCCTTCTGCACGGATCAAGTTTACTCAGCATCTTCCAGCAAAGAAAGTCTAAATGCTGCATAGGTTGAAAGACTAACCCCATGAGAATAAGGTCTTGTCCCGGTTCAGAACCCAAGTTAACACTTACAACAGATTATTTTCGGGTGAGAACTAACAATTGCTGTTACCCAGAAACAACAACAAACGTACCAGCTTGCTAGAGAAAAGGTAAACGAACTCGAGAGGAGGCACTGATAAGACCTGAATCATGAGTTTAAAACTATCCATCACAATGGAATGGAATGTAGAAATCAACCAGCCTCCAGTAAAATCACACTACAAAATACAACCTTTTCCCGCCAATCTCCAGACTCCCTAAACTCTACATAAGCACTACCCCAAATTAATGTAACTACCATACCAATAACTGAAAGCAAACTCAGCCACATAAAAGCTCAAGATAAGAGCTCATACAAGCACAAATTTAATGCAGTGCAAGCACTGCATATATGTGTCTAGGACTTCGCAGTTGGCAATGGAGAGGACTAAACTACTGCCGCATAAAGGCTTGAAGTTAATCATTAGCAATCAGAAGATGCATTCCGTTTTCTAATTTGATCGACCATAGTTGTCAAGTGTCTGTTTGCTGCTGATCGTGCGGTGGCTGTTGTGGAGGTTGTGTCTGTGGCCACGGCATGAACGCCATATGAGGTCGAGGCTGTTGGGTGGCATATAGTGCTGCCTGGTCAACTGGTTTTCCCATGATCATCCCAGTAGGCCCTACAGGATGCTGTGGTGGGACATAATAATATGGCATATCAGTAGGGGAACCCACAACTGGAATTGTAGCTTTTGTCACACCAAGTCCCTCTTCTTTCAACTCATCTCTTGGAATAATATCAACCAAGAAATCAAATACGTCAGTCCTTGAAATTGCAGCCGCTATATCATTCTTCTGTAGTGTTCTCCTCTTGTTTTCTTCCGTGTGTATCCATGATCGCAGAGTCAGCTCCAGGATAAACATTTCACATGCTTTTGCAAATATGACTGGTGCCTCCGCTGAGATCATCCGGACATCCTCATCAGCTTTCATTATTTTCTTTATCCTCGCAAGTGGAAGACTATGATTCTTGAAGTCAGTTGTCTGCTCAATTTCTTGCATTTGGTTAGCCCAAAAAATCTGAAGCTGCTGCTGTTGCTGCTGCTGCTGCTGCTGGTGAAAATGATGTGCTTGCTGGTATGCCATTTGGTGAGGGGAATTCGAGAAGGGAGCTGGAGGCTGTGTTGGGGAAGTTACGGCTACAGAAGGTGATCCAGAAGCTACCATGGGAGCAGTCTGGTAGTGAGTAGAATAGGCCATCTGGCCAGGGGCAGCTGCAACGCCTACTACATGCTTTTGCTGCTGCTGCTGTTGTGCCTGCTCCGATTGATCCATGACCACCAGTTAATGCTATAAGATTGTCTCTTCTAACTACCCTCCCTTTACAACTGATAGGGGAAAAGAGGAGAAAAAAATAAAGATATAGAAAACCTCCAATCATATGATTTTCTAAACTACAGAGAACGCCAAAGTTTGGTAAAGAAGCGCTGGAAGAAAAAGATTATGTGGAAAATAAAAACATATATACATTCCCTAAATTAGTCTGACTCTTGATTATTTTTATAGGCATGAGGTGAGAGACTGAGGGATATCAACAGTCTCCACATTGTTTAAACCAAACATGCATCTCTTCCCCTTAAAATTTTTACCCTCCACAAATAACATATTTTCAAACAAACAGAGAGAAACATTCATATTGATGAAAACCCAGAGTGCTGTGGCTTGATAGGAGGTAGGCATTTCCTCACTTCAATCAGTGAATGCTAATGGCTAATGAAAGCAAAAAAATTTAGATCACTTTAAAGGTAGAGTTTTTAGCAAGGAAAACATGTCATATACCCATTTGATATAAAAAATGGAATAGAAAAGGGAATGAAAATGAAATGAATAAAGTGATTTTGAAGATGAAAAATAACCCCTTATTACCCTTCCTCCAGAATGTATTAAAAAGAGATTAAAAAAAAAACAGTTGAGTAATGATTACAGTTTTACGAGACATTGCCCCCCCCCCCAAAAAAAAAAAAAAATCTTCGCCCTTTCCTTTCCAATTGTTAACCAAACAGGGCCCAGACCTTAACAGACCACATCAATTTAGTCAGTTAAGGATAATGCCAGAGCTGAAAGGTCAAAACCTAACTTCTATACAGTAGAGAAGACTGGGGAACATGTACAAAGAGCAGTAAAAATTATGCAAGTGCTACTGAGAAAATTACTTGTGGTTATGGCTTTTCATTTATCACTTCATTTCACCAAACTGAAATGGAAATCATGATGGTAAAGAACTTTTTCATAATGTTCCAGTTTCAAAAACCCAGCCCAGCAAGTTTCTTTGCATCCGTCCAGCCACCTCCCAGGGGGTACGAGTGAAAGAACAAAGCAACGAAACAAATAAGCATCCTAGACATAGAGTTCTTATCCCTTTCTAAAATAGCTCTGGAAACCGTTTCCATTGGAGCAGTCCAGACTCCAGAGTTGATATTAAAGACACCTCCACTATTCTCTCCCAAATATTACTTCATAAACAATCACATGCAAGAAAAATCAATAACACCACGTTCCCTCTCCTTCGTACTCATACTCACTTGTTTTGTCGCTGTTGTATTCATGTAATTAGCACATGCATAGCCAAAATATAGCCATGATTTGTTTTAATCAACAAAAAATAGCCATGATCAATCCCAACAATAGTTTAAAAAACTGACGGCTAATTTTACAATCCAATCTGAGTAAATCATCCATCCAGATGTCAACCGATTGATGGTCCCAACCCACATGATAAAAATCAAATTAACTTCCGGCTTCTTCCAAATACCACATAATTTAACTAATTCCTACAACTAAAGAAACATAGGGCCCATACAGACCAAGTCAAAAGAAAGAAAAAAAGCTAAGCTGAAGGTCAATTAAATAGCAACTAAAAACAAAGAAAGATCGATACTGAAAACTGACAAATGTCAAAGTTTTCATTTTGCGACTGATCAGATAATAAAAACACATGAGGAAAAGAAAAAGAAAGAACTTTAGGCGAAATCGGAGAGATTACCCATCTACTACGAGCTTGACTCCGAAAGCTCGTCAATGCGGAGAAACCCTAAGAGAGAGTGAGGGGAAAAGAGAGGGTAGCAGAGTGATTGAGTTAGAGAGAGAGAGAGAGAGAGTTGAGAGCATAAGAGGGTAGGAGGGACCGGGCAGGGTTGGAAATATGGTGGATTGGTGGTGTTTCTAGAGAGAGAAAGTTTCTGGGAGCATCGTACCTCGACACGTGTCGGCATGTGAGAGCTCTGACTATTTGAGGGTACGTTCCCAGCGTCCACGTGGTGTAAAGATACTGGATGTTTCTGCGCTCCTTGTAGACGACTGTGACTTATCCAGAAAATGACAGCGCATGCGGGTGCCTCAGTCTGCGGAGGGAGGGAGGGATAATTTAGGAATGAAAAATAAACATAGAGGGCATCTTTGGAATTGGGTAGCATTACAAATTACAAATTAATTAAAATAAGCTAAATAGTAGGGTGAAAGCCTAAAAGGATAAAATAATATCTAGATTGTTAGTTTTATTATTTTAACTTTGAGGATGTCCAGCACTAAGGCTGATCAATAGTTGTAAGGCTTAATGTTAATTAATCCATGTACTCTTTTTTTGAACTATTAAATAATTTATATTTTTAAGTGAAATAATTTTTATTTAAAATATTTTTTCAAGATTTAAAAATATCCTTATACTAGCTAGGCATGAAATCTATCATTATTTATTGATGTGGCAACTTGTGGAGCTCACGCATGATGCTAACTTGGCTTTAAAGGTGGCTAGTCTAACCCTTTTGACCAATACGTGTCCCCTTCACTTGCCATTTCAAAATCCCACTCTCTCTTATGGGCTTTTTCAACCTTTTTATCATCATTGCCAAAATACTTCACGTTTTCGAGCTCTACCTCACCTTCCTCCTCCTCTCTTGGCTCTTCCCTTGCTTTCCCTTTGCTCTCTCCTTCCTCCGCTTATTCTCTCTCTTCCTCACCAACCCTCCCTTCATCTTCTTCCTCTCCAATACCACCATTACTGCTCTTCTCGCCAAATCCCTTTGATTTCTTACTATGACACTATTTCTTATGCCCATCCTTAAATCTACCAGGACTTCCTCAATGATGGCTCGCATTGTACTATGCCTATGCCTAAAGGTGATCCTCTATTGTGTGTTATCGAAAGTTGATTTTAAATTGTTGCATTTTGTTGGTTATTTTCTTTTGTGTGTGTTGTTATGTTTAATTGCCTCTCCTTTCGGTTTCACGACTTTATTTTAGAGGCATACATCCATTCCCTGACCAAAGTCTCTGAGGGACTTGTCATTATCTAGATTTTACTTTCCTCATCTTTTGGATTTCTCATTTTGGTTACCTTTCTTGTTCTATTCATTTTTCGAGTAGATTCATACTGAGTATCAAAATAAATTAGATAATTGATACATAGATTTGCTGGTTGTGCTTTTTAATTTGGTTTGCTGGCCCTCAATCTAGATTCAAAAGCAAGATTGGATTATGATTTTCCTAAGGTTTATCAAAGTACTTAGTCAAAAAATTCAAAAGTAGACTGTCTAGAGCCAATATAACAGATATGGACTTTAAACACAATGAATGTTTCCTTTGAATGGGGTCAGCCTTTGATGTTTTAAAGAAGAGGGAGACATGTATCTGGTCAAAAAAGGTCAAACTAACCACCTTTAAAGCCAAGTCAGCACCATGTGTGGGCCCAACAAGTTGCCACATTAGTAAATAATGATGGATTTCATGCCTGGTTAACAAAAGGCCATTCTTGGACTGTAAAAAAAATACTTTAGGGTGAAAATCACTCCATTTAAAATTATAAGGTGCTTAGTGCTTGTAGAGAAATAGTACGATGACATGTTTGGACCTTAACCCAAGTTTTAATCATATGGAAATATACACAATTTTTTAAAAGTTAAAATATATTAACTAGATCAGAATATATATATATATATATATAATAAGTTAAATTATTCATAAATCATAAATAATATTTTTTTATTTTCCAGATTTTTTATCATATACCACTATAATAATTTAAAAAACACTGATATAGAAAGTAAGGATTTTATTTGGACTCTAATAACATAGGCTCAAATCGCAATATCACTTTGAAAATTTTATTGTGCGGTAATTTTTAAATATTTTTTAAGTTTTCTTCCAATATGTTATATTTTTAGGTTAAATGGCAATTTAGACCATAAATTATATGGCCAAGGATGGTTTGAATCCTAAATTTGTAAGTGATATATGTTAAACTCTAAACAATTAAAATTAGAATGATTTTGCCCCAATGTTAAATTGAAGCAAACACCCATTACTTTAAGTAAGGGGTCAGATAAGTAGCATGGAATTTTTCTCTCTTTACATTTCTGCTTCTTTGCATTCCTAGGTGGCATGTTTTCTCCCTATTCTCCCTCTCTCTTTTGCTTTTATCCATGACATTACTAAGACCATTTTGCAAAAATTCCCCAAACTCTAATTGCCAAAAATTTAATTCTTTTATGGCAGAGTATATCTATTTTTGATATTTCTTGCTTTACAATATGCACTTTTTGCTATATCAATTGTCTTCACATTTGAAGAACTCTAATGTGATAGATGCTAAGCTAAAAGAGCATTAATTATATGGATTAAGCAGTGCCATGGTTGCAGATACAAGTTTCAATCTCAACCTGTATGCTATTATTCTTCAATATTCCCTTCAACTACAACCCTCTATTAATCAATCTCTCTCTCTCTCTCTCTCTCTCTCTTAATGCTATATATATTGCTAAAATCACTCTAAAACCCTTTTTTTAATAATTTCATATTTTTAGATATGAAATTTCTTACTTTTGAATTTCTTGTTTTTGTTGGCTAATTTTGATTTTGGCTTTTTGCTTGTTACCTCTAGCTGATTTTTATTTTTGCTAGTTGTGATTTTGCTTGCAGTGTAAAAATGTCTTGTTGCCCTTATTTTCATCGATGTATCTTAGAGGTATACTCCCACAACCACGCAAGTAAGACTTTCCTATACAAGCTGTGAGAACTTCTTTAAGCCTCAAATAGTGCGTCGTGGTATACTTGTAGTGAGATTTGCAAGTACAATTGAAGGGATTGTCAGAGAATAGGACACATTGAGGTCATGATGGAGTGGAAAGGGGTTTAATGATAATGATAGTGAAGGACGACAAGGGGTGGGTGTTAGTAGAGAAATTGATGACTGAGAGAGGGAAAAGAGGATAGTAGTGCTTAGTATAGATGAGATGGAGGTATTGGTTGATGGTGGTAACAAGGTGGATATGGTAGGTGGTGCTAATGATAATAATAAAGGAAAGGGATAAGAGAGTAGCTTGTTGAGGAATTGAAAATGCACACTTAGCAATACTAGGTCAAAACAAAATTTCTCCCTCTTCAGCTGATGGTCAATGTTGTATCAATTTAACAATGGGGGTAAAATTATATCAAATTTAATTATTAAGGTTTCAAAATGTACTACATATAAGTTTAGGATTCAAATCGCCCCTAACTCTATAGTTTAGGGTAAAAATTTTCATTTAACCTTATATTTTTTGTGAGCCATAAGCCATTAGAGCAAACTAAAAAAAATCTAAATTTAGATGGTAAAGAAAATTTAAAAAAAGTTAAATTTGAGCCTAAACTATTAAAGTTTTTTTTGTAGAAAAACTATAAAACTATCATCTAACCTTGTGCTAACATATTCATGGTTCTCAATAACTCATGCAATTATAATGCATGACATGCTTATCACTATAACTCAAGAATTTGCATGCATACCACTTTATCAATCGTCAAGGCCACATAACCAATACATGGCCAATTCAGGTCCAACTATTCATAATCACACCTTCACATGACAACTATATATACGAAATCACCAACCACAATTCATCATAAAGACTTGTTCTTTGTAACTCATGCGTCAAACTCAAAGTTAATAAATTCATCATCATGCTTTTATTTGTTAATTCAAAGGCATCATAACATTGGTACAATTTTTCAAACAATATAATATACTCAAATTAAATTCTTGGTTACATCTACTCTTAGGCTACTACCTTAAGAGTTAAATTTAGATCTCATAAGAAAGCTGTCTCAAATTCAAGCTTTGAGCATAATCAATCTACAACAAAAATCCAAAAACAACATTAATGACTAATCATTATTAATTAATCCTTACTCATGATTAAGGCCTAATACCCTTATTAAGCATGGTTAAGCATAATTAGCTCTAAAACTCTCTTCCTTTAACTTATATAACTCCTATTAAGCTTAATGACCATTGTTAGCTACTCTTAATAGCATAAACTAGCTTACTTAGCATTAATGTTAATCTTAAACCTCTCATTAAAGGCATTTAATGCTGTTAACCACCAAGACCAACTACTGGAAGCATTAAACAACATTCATAGACTTCAATGAACTCATTTAAGTGGTTGCAAGCAACAGTAGGTTCAAATAACACCTTACTCAACCCAAAAGTTCCTTAGAAAATGAGAAGAAGAGAGAAGAGGGAAGAAGGAAGCTTACCCAAGGTGTCTCTAGCTCTAGATAGCCTCTAATATAGCTTTAAGACGAACCTTAATAGAGATCTCCTTGTTTTCTCTCGACTAGACCTTCAAAAATCTCCTTAGTTTTCATTGCTTAAAACACGTTTGGAGAGTTTAAAATTTGTTATGGTGCATAGTGCCATTCACCGTGGCGAATTTGCCAAAACAGCAAACTATACTTAAGCCCACTAATTTAGGCTCAAGATGGCCCAATAGCCTTTCCAACCCTCATTTAAAATATCCTATGAGGTCCAAGCAGCCTAAAAGGAAATCCAAACTCTAACATTAACTTCTAATTGCCACGATTAGTTAATTAAATCTCTTAATTAATCTTACTCTTAGATTAAAAATTTAGAATGTTACCCCTTTATTATCCTCTTTCGAACTTCAACCTCTAGAAAATGATTAATAAATCTCTCCTTCTTACACTCCTTAGATAACTCAACTGATTGAGGAAAGAATCAAATATGAATACCATCAGAAATATGAATCAGATGCTCCAATTTTACATTCACCCAGGTCAGTAGATCCATATTCCTAACTTTTTATCTCTTCTATGGTCTTAGAAAATTACATATTTCCTCCCT